CGTATTTCCCATTATCCCCCCCCCCCACACCGTCCTCATCCTCTCTTGAACCTTCACTCGCTATGTTATCTTGGACCTCTGGGGATAACTCGTTATGTAATCTTGGATCTCTGAGGTTCAATCATTATGTTATGTTAAATCTCTGGGGTTATCTTGGACCTCTGGGGTTCACTGGCTATGTTATCTTGGACCTCTGGGGTTCACTGGCTATGTTATCTTGGACCTCTGAGGACAACCCATCCTCTTGCTGCGCTCGTCCACGATGCAGCCGACCTCAAAGACGCTTTCATACATTTTCCGTATTATGCAATGAAAAAGTTATTTTAGCAAGTAAAAACTATTATTATATATTCTAGTTATGTCTAGAGTTGGGCTTAGGTTAGGTTAGGTTAGGTTAGCTGTTTGTGTGTACAGTTTTTCCGTTCAAAAAATAGAAGAGGAAGCGAGTGGTTTACAGAGCATTTGTTCTGTGTTTATGAGAAGGAGGTGTTTGAGGATCAAATGATTATAATTGGGTCTAGGTGTTCCACCGTGGTGAAGGTGCCTGCTCACCTAAGTTGACACTCGTCGCCTGGTCTATGGCACCTGTATGTGTTCTTCCTTCCACTCTCTCTTGCAGCTCCCTCTCAGTCGCAGCGTTTCTTCATGATTTTAAATCTAATGCTTTCCTTCCACTTGGGCTGGACGGTAGAGCGACGGTAGAGCGTCATGCCGGTCGGCGTTCAATCCCCCGACATTCCAAGTGGTTGGGCACCATTCTTTCTTCCCCCCGTCCCATCCCAAATCCTTATCCGGATCCCTTCCAAGTGTTATATAGTCGTAATGGCTCGGTGCTTTCGTATGATATTTCCTTTCCCCCTTCATGCTGCTGTTGTTGTTTTAGATTCAGCTACTGGGAACAAAACGTTCCAAGTAGCACGGGCTATGGCGAGCCCGTAGTGAACTTATCTGGCACAGGAGCGGGGCTGTCCATTCTTGCCATTCGCCCTCGTGGCGTAGTTGGCTACATGGCTCGACACCTCTCCCCGCCCCTGGCTACGTCCTCCCCCCCCCCCCCTTCAACAGGTATTACGACGCATCTCCTCCACTTTTCATCGCCAGCACATGTTCTTCTCGCACTGATGCAGCCTCCCATGACCTGGATCAGTCGTATCCATTTACGAAACATGTACATCTTTCCTGAATCATGGCGGTTTGGTTTACATTTATGGAACAATTAAAGGTTTAAGAAGCGCTACAAGGGTGTCTATAACAATAACAACCTTGGGTTGTGAAGGGTTGTAAAGCATGTAAACTATTTAATAACTGCTATGTCACCATGATTGAGGAATGATGTACAGGTTTCGGAAGTGTACGCGTACATGCTTGATGAGTTGTAATCCTGTATCCTGAAGTACACACTAACCGAATAGCATCAGCGTCATAGGCAACGTCGGAAAACATGTGAACTCCATTCAGACACTTGAACTCTAGTTCAAATTAAATTTTATAAATTTTGCCCCGAGGGGCGAGTTTATTGGGCAGCGCCACTCATCTTGTGAGTGGACACACCGCCATAGCAGCATGTACAACACTCCCCAATAGGAAGAAAACCCGCTGGGTTGTTCATCCTGTCACTTGTACCCAGACACAGCTGGGACTTGCTTAACTGTCTCAAGTGAACAGCTCCTCAAACAAGAAGATTAACATCTATCAACCCTTAAAAGCTTACGTTATCTTGCGGGTGCAAAATGGGGAAATCTTTTAAGAACAGCATCAATATTTGACAAATAGTGTTTTCCTAACTCAAACAATGTGGGGTTTATTATTCTACACATATTTCTGATATCTCTCAGGTGTTCACATTCACGTAGATAGTGGTCAAGGCGGTATCCATCACTCTCACCACAGATTCTGCAACTTCGCTGATCAACTGTTGTTTCCATTCCATATCTCCAAGGATATTTGTATCCAAGACGGATTCTTGCTATTACTGATTCCCTCCCTCGTCCTCCTCTTCGGCCATAACGATTGGGATTGCCAGCTGCAACCATGTTGTACCATCGTATAGATTCACTAGTTTGTGCTTCTATGCTCCTTTCCTCAGTTACCTTGTCACGGTGATGATGCCTGACAATACCTCTAATTTGTAGTAGAGTCTTGGGTATGAAGTATTCATTCAAAACTCTATGTCACATATGCCAGCAGGTTAGTCCCAGAACTGAGAGGTTTGAGCTCCCTAGAAAGTCAAAAGAACTAAATCTTACATCACCGGAAGAGAAAATAAACTGATGAGACATAATTACGACATACAAAATACTCAGAACTAAGTGGGAAAGAAGAGGAGGGACACGAACATCATAATGCGAGTGAAAGCTAAGTGCCCGCATAAGCCACAAAGGAATAAGAAAGTAATTTGTTTACAATTATTAAACAGTTAATGAGCTCCGAAGCACCAGGAGGCTGTTTATAACAATAACAACAGTTGATTGGCAAGATTCCATGCTTGTAAACTGTTTAATAAATGTAACCAAAGCCGTCAAAGATTGAGGAAAGATGTACACGTTCGTAAGTGCTTGCGTAACTGCTTTCGTGAATCTGGCCCCTGGCGACTGGTGATTGACAGGCGTAAGGAACCTGTGTGTGAGGAAGTGAATAAGAAGAACCTGTGTGTGAGGGAGAACAATAAGGAAGTGTGTGAAGCTCGGGCCACGCAAGTACATCCAGGTGAGCACAGTCACACACACACATACGCGTGAAAGTAGAGACCGACACTGGCAAGAAAAACCTCTTACATAACCACAGGTGACAGAGGTCAGCAAGCGTGACAATGGTGAACGTGCAACAGTACAACCCCCCCCCCCACCCTTCTCTCCCAACACACTCCAATATACCTGACAGCTATTATTGCTTCTAGTTCCCACCCACAACAGCCTCCTCCCTCCCACACATCAACAATCTAGAGGCATAAGGACCGAGTGACCAGACTGAGTATGGGAGGTGGAGCGCACACGATAAGTTACACAGTCATACGCGAGGGTCTCAAGGAAAAGTTTATAAGGTCTTTAAAACTGGAGACCGAACACCTACCGGACGTTAGAGGAGACCGAACACCTACCAGACGCTGGAGGAGACCGAACACCTACCAGACGCTGGAGGAGACCGAACACCTACCAGACGCTGGAGGAGACCGAACACCTACAAGTGGTCAGTACACCATAGAAATAATACTAAGAAAACACAAAATTAGCATAACCATCTATCAGATCCAAGAGATTCACCCCCTGGGACCCACCTTACCACTGTGTGTCCTGTATCATGGGGTTCCAGGGGGTTGTGGTGGTCGGGGTATGGGTTGTGGGTCTGTGGTGGAGGGGCGGTGGGTTTCAGGGTGGTGGAAGCGGGTTGTTGGGTTGCTGGAGGCTGGGTGAGGGTGTGCCCTCAGGTACCACCTACTGAGAATGAGGCAGACTACAAAAGGGCAATATGGCGTGTATTCGCCACAGGGAACCATTGCACAGTGTGACCAGACCACATACTAGAAGGTGAAGGGACGACGACGTTTCGGTCCGTCCTGGACCATTCTCAAGTCGATTGTACTCTAGCCACGTTATTGTGACTCATCGCCTGCATTGCACAGTGTCTGCCGTCCTCAGTGTAAGCACTCAAGCTATATAAACAAATACTATTTGCATACCAAAGGTGAAGAATCTGCTTTAGCTCCACTGATATTTGTGTGGATATAGTGGGGTGGGGGGAGGGGAGGAGAGATGGGGTTAGAGGGGGGGGGATTGAAGGGGTGAGGAAGGGTAGGGCAGTGGTGGGGTGTCATGAGGGTAGGGCAGTGGTGGGGTGTCATGAGGGTAGTGGTGGTGGTGGACACACCACTATAGAAGATTGCAGACGAAACTTCAGAATGAGCTGCAAGATTTATGCAAAACAGAATACAACCAAAAATGAAATCTAATAAACCAAATGCAAACAGATCACAGAAATCCTGAAAGTTGTGGAAAAAGATAAAAAAAAAAACAGGATGGGAACCAAGCGAGAAAACACCTTACATCAGCCACGCCTTGAGAAATAATCTGTATGAAGACAGAACAAGAACAATAATTTAGAAATTGTTGGGACAATATTTTCAGAATAAACCCCGAGGAAAATGTAGGCATTTTGTCCCACCACAGAACAATTACAATTCTCGTAGAAAACGGCCACAAATTTGCTTCCAAGGCCAATAATGAACCTTAATAACATTCACAGTGAACCTTATGAACTACATAACCATCGCAGAGCTCCAAGAAACAATTAGATGTGTTAAGAACGGTGCGCGTGTTACAAGATGATAATGATGATTAGATGTATAATAATGCTGATTAGATGATGATAATGATTAGATGGTGTATGATAATGCTGATTAGATGATGTATGATAATGATGATTAGATGATGTATGATAATGATGACGGTTCCCAGGGAGTATGAGGTTGTAGGCATGGATGAAGCTCCCACAGAAAGTGTATGGGTGGGTGAGCCACCCCAGGCACCCAGCACCCTAGCCACCCAGCACCCAGCGCCCCAGGCACCCAGCACCCTAGCCACCCAGCACCCAGCGCCCCAGGCACCCAGGCTGAGGTTAACGCCGCCCAACCACGGCCGAGAAGCCGTATAAATTACAGGCTGCAAAACCTGCCGACGCCTGGCGCGACCGACCGTGTGAGACGCTTCCTGAAACGCATCGCTATACTGACGCAGTGACGCATTGCATGATGACTGAAACGCATCGCTACAGTGACGCAACAGCGTATAGCGATTGACGGCTAAAATCCACCGCTATAGTGACGCATTAACGCACAGTGTGGCGATTTAACTGCACCGATAGGTTGGAGCATATGTATATTTACATAGCGACGCATACACATATACGGAATTGTGGTGCGTAAGGCGAAGAACACGAGCCGGTGAACATAGCGGTGTTCTCTATATAACATTAGCGCAGAAGGAAGGTGTTTTCCGGTGTTTCAGAGTGTTGAATGTTGAGCGACCATCCACTCCGTTAAGTGAGAGCCCCAGCAAGAGGAAGATAGAAATTACTTTCGCGTCAGACAGCCAAGTATTTGACCCCAAGTACCCTCCGGCTTCCCACCCTCCCCCCTTCCCCGGCACCATTGCTGGAGCCACCACTGCCACAGTGAAGAGGTACGTGTGTGTACCGTTAAGAGGTACCCGTGTGTGCGTACCGTCGGCCCCAGCCAAGAGATACCCCCCTTGTGTATGTCCCGCCACCACAGCGGACGAGGTACCCGTGTGTGCGTACCGTCGGCCCCAGCCAAGAGATACCCCCCTTGTGTATGTCCCGCCACCACAGCGGACGAGGTACCCGTGTGTGCGTACCGCTGCCCTAGCGTAGACGTCTCCGTGCGTGTGTGTACCATAGTGTAGAAGAGGTCGTGCATGCCGTCCGTGGCGATCGTGCGTGCGTGGCTACGCACAACTAGCGAACACGGTCGGCGGTGTATCTCTGGACGCGGTGACCCGTGGCGGGCAACCAGGTATAACACCTCACCACCGCCAGAATCTCGGATTACGGGCTATTCATGCCCGTGCCACCACTTGGGTGGCTTAATCTTTATCAGTCATCATCAGAATCTCGGGGCGTCATTCTAGGGGCGGATAGTTTGTTCGTTCCATTTATTAAAGTTTATAAGTTTCAAAACTTCACAACCCAAAGTTATTATCATACACAATCTCGTAGTGATTCACAGTCCAATAACTTTGCTTAATGAATGTAAACAAAGCCGCTGTGATTGATGAAAGACGTACGGGATCTTAATCATCAATTCATCAAATATAGAACACACATGAACAAAATTGTAGTTTTATTTTATCTTAGCGTTGAAGGTGGAGTGCAGTTGGCAGTGTGTCTTCTGTAGCCTATATCCGGCACTGTGCCACCTGCATCTAGCCTATCTTTGCTAATTTGTTATCGAGAGATACAAAAGATATAACAGATTATAACAATTATTCTCGGGTGAGCCACGAAGCTTCCCTCTACCGCAAGCGGTGAGCCGCAGGAGAAGCGCGACACCTAGGTGCGGTCACGGCCAGGTGCCAACACCGCCTGCGGCTTGTGGTTGTAAAGACGTCATGTCCTTCTCCCGCCCGTGGCAGCCGTGTCATCCGCTGCCACGGCTCGCCAGCCCAGGACATGGAGGTGGTCTTATCCTATATGGATGTTAATCTGCCTAGTATGGAGGTGGGCCAGTCAAGTAAGGATAACGACCCCTAGCGCACCTTCAGCAGGATAACGACCCCTAGCACACCTTCAGCAGGATAACGACCCCTAGCACACCTTCAGCAGGATAACGACCCCTAGCACACCTTCAGCAGGATAACGACCCCTAGCACACCTTCAGCAGGATAACGACCCCTAGCACACCTTCAGCAGGATAACGACCCCCTAGCACACCTTCAGCAGGATAACGACCCCTAGCACACCTTCAGCAGGATAACGACCCCTAACACACCGTCAGCAGGATAACGACCCCTAGCACACCTTCAGCAGGATAACGACCCCTAGCACACCTTCAGCAGGATAACGACCCCTAGCACACCTTCAGCAGGATAACGACCCCTAACACACCGTCAGCAGGATAACGACCCCTAGCACACCTTCAGCAGGATAACGACCCCTAGCGCACCATCAGCAGGATAACGACCCCTAGCACACCTTCAGCAGGATAACGACCCCTAGCGCACCTTCAGCAGGATAACGACCCCTAGCGCACCATCAGCAGGATAACGACCCCCTAGCACACCTTCAGCAGGATAACAACCCCCTAGCACACCTTCAGCAGGATAACGACCCCCTAGCACACCTTCAGCAGGATAACGACCCCTAGCGCACCTTCAGCAGGATAACGACCCCCTAGCACACCTTCAGCAGGATAACGACCCTCTAGCACACCTTCAGCAGGATAACAACCCCCTAGCACACCTTCAGCAGGATAACGACCCCCTAGCACACCTTCAGCAGGATAACGACCCCCTAGCACACCTTCAGCAGGATAACAACCCCCTAGCACACCTTCAGCAGGATAACGACCCCCTAGCACACCTTCAGCAGGATAACGACCCCCTAGCACACCTTCAGCAGGATAACGACCCCCTAGCACACCTTCAGCAGGATAACGACCCCCTAGCACACCTTCAGATCTGTTACATTTGGTTTAGAGAGCACAAAATCAAGGTGCTTAACTGGACATCAATACCCCTGGACCTCGGTGCAACAGAACATGGTATGACGTGAAGAACTCAATTCACAAGCGGAAGTCATCATGGAGAGATGACACCAAAACCCATATTAAGACCACCGCGACCTGAGGCTACAGCGCCATCTCCATGCAGCTATCTTGGTCAGAATGCGTCAGCGTTCCCCCACAATACCCTTGATATTATCCATGTTTTCACTGATGCAACAAATAGTGAATATGTTTACAGTACAAACAACGTGATAATCCTGAGGCCAACTGAGGCGCCAACCTGCGCAGGGCAAGGAACTTTGCTCATACAGTCATCGTGGAAGGGGTGGGGCAAGCCAAGCCGGGTAAATATCAGACTGAGGGACCACTAGCCTCTTGCCTGGCTTGTAGTGGGGAGGACACGTAAGGGTAGTGGTGGTGGTGGTGGTGGTGGGGTTGTAGGATGTGGTGATGGCCGGGGTAGATGTGGCATTATTTGTTGTATTTGCGGGGCTGAAATGCTGAGAAAAGTGTAAGAAGAATGTATCTTGGAGCCTCTTGAGTGTGAGTGAAAGATGTGTTTGTGGTAGGGAGGGGAAGGGATAGGTTTGTGCGGGTGTTATACTCAAATTCTGTCAGTTGAAATGTAACCAATCACAGGCAAGTAGGCCTCTGACGTCATGCCAGACAGAGGAGCATCAAGCATGCTCCCAGCAGCCTCAGTCATCCTCACAGACCCAGAGTAGGTGGACCTCGGCTGGCCAGTTATACACCTGTTTGCCTCACTCAATAAATATATACAGAAGCGACTACTGTGTCTACATTCAACCCGAACAAGGCAAACGAATACGTGAGTGTGGGGGGGGGATATATGTGATATATGCGAAGGGGGTATACTCGGGTGTGTGGAGAGGGGCGAGTGTGGAGGGTGTAAAGGGGGGTATGAGAGAGGGGGGATGGGTGATAGGGGGGGGGGGCGGGTGTGAGGGGGAGAATATGTGCGATGAGTGTGACGAGGGTGATGATGATGATGATGATGGTGGTAGTGGTAGTGATGGTGGTGATGATGATGGTGATGACAAAACAACTATTAAACAGTACCACAATAACAAACAATCACCACCATCAACCAACACACCGGCCTCACCCTCAATAACAACAATCACACACCACCTTACCTTCACCATATAACAATCCTTCAAACAATGACGCTCTGATAATGCCTCACAAACCCTCATAGGCCTAGGTAACGGCTTCGTGGTGCAAGCCAGGAGGCCTACCCGACTGTACGGCTTGAGGCACGCCCTGGACACTTGCCCCACCTTCTTATTCCCACCCTTCATGGGAGTTTACCTTTTAAATGTACAAGCGGTCGTACATGGCACTGGAGTAGTGGTCTCCTTGTTTAGTGATCACTACCAACGCTTGAATAGTGACCCCTCCGTTACCTAGTGGTCACACTCAGTATTAGAGTAGTTGTCCCGTTGTTTAGCGGTTGCAATCAACACCAAAGTACTGGCTTCTAGGAAAGGTGGAAGAGGAGGGGGGGGGTCTCACCCTCCCTCCTTGACATTCCTACAGACGAAGGAAGATAAAACTTTACCCTTTCTTATCTTCCAATTATGATGACGGAATGGTAAAGACCCATCCCTTCCCTTTTCTCGTTCTGAGAGAAGTGTTCTAGCCCTATCTCTTCTACCCAGTGCCGAACATGGAAAAGAAAGACGGTCTCCTATTTTTCCTTAAAACTAGACAGAAAGATGTTTGGCAACACCGTCATTCCCTGCCCTCATTCCTCCTTGAGACAGGAGGAAACTGCATTGGGAGATGAAAAGACAGCAGGGAGGAGGTGGAGACAGCAGGAAGGAGGTGGAGACAGCAGGGAGGAGGTGGAGACAGCAGGGAGGAGGTGGAGACAGCAGGGAGAATAGGAAGAGGCAGCAAGGTAAGAGGTGGAGACAGCAGGAAGGAGGTGGAGACAGCAGGGAGAAGAGGAAGAGGCAGCAAGGTGAGAGGTGGAGACAGCAGCAGAGGAGGTAGAGGGAGACAGCAGGGAGAAGAGGAAGAGGCAGCAAGGTGAGAGGTGGAGACAGCAGCAGAGGAGGTAGAGGGAGACAGCAGCATCTGGAGAGGAGGAGGAGGAAGGGACTCACCTTGCAGGCGGAGGCTGAGGAGTACTTGGGGAGGACGGGGATGCCTAGAGGGTTGTCCAGGCCGAAAAGTGGTGGGCGGCGGAGCTTGGAGGCCATCCTTGCTGGAGCGTCCACACGCCACCACCGAGCAACAACACCTTCTGACGCCCCCACTCAACACTATTTCCTTCCCAACACCAAGATGGTGCTAACTTAAAGTGTTGACAAGTGCGGCTGATAATATATACCGATATTATCTGAATTTATTCGTAGGTTTCGCTTAATCTAACACCAATACGCAACTTGGTTGATGAATGTTCACTTGATCACTAATTGCAATGTGCAATGTAAGAGAGCTGATTTTTCTCATAAAGCCAGTTAGAAATAGAGAGCAGAGAACGACGCAGCACGTCCGCTCCCTATGGCCTCCCGAGCGGTTGTGACGTCACGGTGTGCTTACACCTCTCTGGCTCAAGCCACAGTTGCCAGCCGCCGCCTTCTGCTATACAACACCACTGGTCCTTTATTTGATTAAACTGTCAAAGTAAGACCTTTCCGATTTGAAATACCGTATGCAATAATACGAAAATAGGCATTAATAATAATTATGCAAGGTCACAAAGACTTGGGATACATTGATATAATTTATTAGCCTAGCAAAAATTATCTTTTTTTTTTCTAGTAGCCTACTAAATTTTACAATTATATTTTAATGGCTTAAAATCTGTAAATCAACCTTTTAATAGCCGAGCAAAGAATATGTAAATTATTTAATATCCTAGCCAAAAAAATTTGTAAATCAATCATTGTTATTTTTATGCTGTGATAAGTCACTGCAAACACAATAGAGACAGCATGTGACAAGCCAATATTCACGACACACATTATAACCGCCTCTGCCTCGGAGATTTTAATGCTGGAGAGAAAGTAATCCCGAACAAAAGTGAAGGAAGACAGGTATTGTTTTAAGCGTTTGTGGTAATACTAATATGTGTGGTTATTTAGATTTGCAACAGCTGGTGTGCAAGAATGAAAGGGCCCCCCTCCTCCTCCTTCTTGCAAGAGCTTGATTCGAGAGCTTCGGCGGTAGCATCTTGAGTCAGCCCCTTGAGAGAGCTCCATTTGAGAGCACCTTGTGAGAGCCCCATATGAGAGCACCTTGTGAGAGCCCCATGTGAGAGGACCTTGATTGAACTCCTTGTGAAAGCACCTTGTGAGAGGACCTTGATTGAGCTCCTTGTGAGAGTACCTTCTAAGAGCCCTTTGTGAGAGCTTGTGAGAGCCCCATGTGAGAGCCCCTTGTGAGAGTCCCAGGTGAGAGCACCTTGATTGAGCCCCTTGTGAGAGCACCTATGGTGATAATGTATAAACTCCGTGTTTTTTAAGTATACTATATATAATGATGCTGATTAAATTAAGCTAATTATAACAATACTATTTAATAAAAAATATCATTGCTATCAAAGTCAATGAAATGCTTTCAAGGAAATTGATTTTTAAAAGTACTGTAATTGTATGTAGAATTATAAACATTTTTGGCAAACAGTTGTATTAAAATTCATAAAAAATGTATTAAATCATAGATGTTCTTCAAAGTCGTACAGTATCAGACAGTCTGATCCAGACAGCTTATTATAATATTAAAATAAAAATAATCATATAAAAATAAAAATAATAACAGAATAGTTAAAATAATAATAATACAAATAATAATAATTATAATAATAACGATAATAATAATTTCAATATATTATTACTTATATAAACAATGTTAAAAAAATATTCGTATTCTGAATTTGTTCCATGCTTAAGGTACTACACAATGTATTAGGTACCACATAATGTATAAGATACCACACAATGTATAAGGTACCACACAATGTATAAGATACCACACAATGTATAAGGTACCACACAATGTATAAGATACCACACAATGTATAAGGTACCACACAATGTATAAGATACTACACAATGTATAAGATACCACACAATGTATAAGGTACCACGCAATGTATAAGGTACCACACAATGTATAAGATACCACACAATGTATAAGATACCACACAATGTATAAGGTACCACACAATGTATAAGATACCACACAATGTATAAGGTACCACACAATGTATAAGATACCACGCAATGTATAAGGTACCACACAATGTATAAGATACCACACAATGTATAAGATACCACACAATGTATAAGGTACCACACAATGTATAAGATACCATACAATGTATAAGGTACCACACAATGTATAAGATACCACGCAATGTATAAGGTACCACACAAAGTATAAGATACCACACAATGTATAAGGCACCACACAATGTATAAGATACCACACAATGTATAAGGTACCACACAATGTATAAGGTACCACACAATGTATAAGGTACCACACAATGTATAAGATACCACACAATGTATAAGATACCACACAATGTATAAGGCACCACACAATGTATAAGATACCACACAATGTATAAGATACCACACAATGTATAAGGTACCACACAATGTATAAGATACCACACAATGTATAAGGTACCACGCAATGTATAAGGTACCACACAATGTATAAGATACCACGCAATGTATAAGGTACCACACAATGTATAAGATACCACGCAATGTATAAGGTACCACACAATGTATAAGGTACCACACAATGTATAAGATACCACACAATGTATAAGATACCACACAATGTATAAGGTACCACACAATGTATAAGATACCACACAATGTATAAGATACCACACAATGTATAAGATACCACACAATGTATAAGGTACCACACAATGTATAAGATACCACGCAATGTATAAGGTACCACACAATGTATAAGATACCACGCAATGTATAAGGTACCACACAATGTATAAGGTACCACACAATGTATAAGATACCACACAA